CCTCCGGGGTGCCATTTCTTTTTTCAAATAACTTAAATTTCCCTACAAAAAACAATAATAATAATAATAATTAAAAAAAAACCTTAACCTAATAATAAGAATTGATACATTCGTTAAATTATTTTGACTATGTGCTAAAAAAAAAAAAAAAAAAACAATAAGAAATAACCTACGACAATCAAATCGGATGTTTTTCTATTTTTTTTTTTTTTTTTTTTTTTACGCCTAAAATTTTAGCCTAAATTAATTAGGAACCCATTGAGGTTGCAAAATCGTTCATTATTACAACCAATAATAATAATAATAATAATAATGATAATAATGATAATAAAACACAATACCAAACGTATTTAAAAAATTTTTTTTTTTTTTTTTCCTTTTATAAATTTTAAAAAAACAATTTTTACGCATGATTTGAGACAAACAAACAACAAACGACAAACGACTTTAAACAATTATAACCAAAAATTAAAAAAAAAAAAAATTAATTAATTTTCCACTCCCGGATTTCCGGTTTTTCCAAAAAAAAAAAAAAAAAAAAAAGAGTTATTAATACGTTACATTGAAAATTTATTAACAGGTTCACTGTCGATATAAAATTAAAAAAAAAAAAAAAAAACAGGAAATTGCTTAACGAAAAGAAAATTTTTTATAATAATAATAATAATAATAATTTTTGATTGGCAATGTCTTGACCTTCTAACTACCCAAAAAAAAAAAAAAAAAATTTTATTTATTTATTTAAATAACTAAATAAATTAATTATTACGTGGCTGTATATGTAAACAAATATTAATAATAATTATTATCGATATTTATTGATATTGGTTATCAATCAATCGATAAAATTCAAATACTTTATTGATTTTAAATAAATTTATAAAAATTATAAATTCTATTTTATTTTTAAAAAAAATTTGCAATTTCCAATTTGCGTCAATAATTAATAATAATAATAATAATAATAATAATAATAATATATAAGTAAATAAATTTGCTTTTAGGCAAAAAAAAAAATTACGATGTGACCCGACATTGATAACATTGGAATATTTTATCATTTAATAATTACAATACATAATAATAATAATAATAATAAAAATAATAATAATAATATTTGCATTTGAAATTTTAATTTTTTTTTTGCGTACAAAAAATTTTTATTTAAAACGTAGGAACATAAATTAGGTTATACTTTGGTTTTTTTTGTTAAATATTTAATAATGTGCCATCTTCTTCATGAATTATTAATAATGATAATAATAATAATAATAGACATGGATTTTAAACGTTATCGTTAAGACTACTACTTTTAATACTAATTAATATTTTACTTCCGTTGTACATAAGGGGAAAAAAAAAAAAAAAAAAAAAAAGGTTTCAATATTCATTAATATTATAATTAGTATGTTTTTTTCCCCTTTCGTCCTATATCAATTATTAAAACATTATCATTTTTATTATTATTATTATCATTTTTCCATTTAAAAAAAAATTAACGGGTGTAGGTTTCAAAGACTAAAAATTATTATTATTATTATTATTTATATAATTGGCATAATTTAAGACGCATATTATTATTATTATTATTATTTCGTTTTCAAACAGACATAACGATATTAATACATATTATTTGATAACGCATATTATTCGATAACAATTTTTGCAAAAAAAAAAAAAGAAAGAAAAATTTCTATAAATTATTAATAATAATGATGATAATAAACAAGAATAATAATTTTTATCAATCAATCAATCGATTATCTCTAAACATTATAAAAATTAATTTTACCTTTTGTTATCATTAAAAAATTAAATAAAAATAATGTAAATAACTTTAATTAACATAAATAAAAATTTATTTAAATGTGATTTTCTAATGAAATAAATTTTAATTAATAAATAAATAAATAAACACAGGAAGAAACTTTCTAATAACTGGGTTAATTATTATTATTATTATTATTATTATTTATGTAATAAACATTGGAGTTATTTTAATAGGGGAAAAGTTTTCAAATTTTTTGTCAAATTTTTTTTGCAAAATTTTGAGAGCTTACATAATATTTAAAATAAAAAATTTCTTACTTAATAAACTTTAATAAGATAAGGTAAATAAAAAAATAAATAAAAATAAATAAAAAAAACTTACTTAAACATTAAACACACAAAAAATAAAATAAAATAAAAAACAATATAACGTGACGTTGTACAATACAAGACTGACGTTGGTCTGGCCTATGTTTCTCATTAAATTTTACACTTTAAAGGTCTAACCCAATGACTTTCATATTTAACGTTTCACTTTGCTATTTATTTAACTATTCACATACTTATTTATTACATATAGGAAGCGGAGGAAACTTTTTTTTTTTTTTTTTTTTTTTTTTACTACTCATCAACCTTGCTCTCAAGTTATTTATCTATAATTTATTTTTAAAAAAAAACTTTCGTTTATTACCGGAAACGTTTACTTTTTTTTCCGTTTCTTTTTTTTTTTTTTGTCTACCTAAAAAACCTTAATTAAAAAAAATTTACCTTTATAAAAAAATGAATACAACT